TATTGATCTGATCTATTTTGAGTTCTGTTGTTTTCTTATTCACAGTCAAACCAAAACTTCTGATATCTTTACTTATTTTTCCCAGCAAGCTTTAACTGTCTCTTGTGTTGGATGATCCTGTCCATGACCTCTCAGATTAGCCCAGTAATTTAGAGTTAGTTGTTCTCTTCTAATTTTGAGTGGTATTTCTCCCAGTAGTGATGATGTTGGGGTAGATCTCATTGCGCCTGTACACAGTCTCAATGCTCGATATTGAATACGGTCTAATTTTTGTAACGTTGTATCTGCTGCTGAATTATAAACAATGCTTCCATAATCTAGTACTGATCGAATTAATCCTGTGCATACAGCCTTAAGTGCTTTCCTATCTGCCCCCCAGTCACTTCCAGTTAAACACCTCATGATATTTAACACCTTCTTGCATTTATCTAAAACTTTCTGTACGTGTATATTCCATGTAATCCTCTCATCAAACCAGACCCCAAGAAATTTAAACTGCTTCACTTTTTCGTCTTCTTCTTTTTCTTAAATGCTGGTAAAAATTATATTCCCACATGATCTTTGCAACAATTCCTTTATGTCTAATTTACCTTTATTTTTATTTAAATGTCTAATTAACATCTCTCTTTTATGTGTATATTTATTGCATTCCAAGAACATATGTTCTACTGTTTCTAATTGTACACAACGATCACAACAACCTGTATCATGCTTGTTGATTATTTTAAGTGTGCAGTTTAATCCCATGTGATCAAATCTCATCCTTGGTAGAACATCGTCTTCTTTCTTTATTCTACTACATTTGCTAAATTCTCAAACTTATTTTTTGATACTATAATAAAATCTAGCATTGTCTCCTCTGTCCCATTGCTCTTGCCATTTCTTCTTAATATTTAGTTTTATTATACCCTTAACCTCATTTTTACTTATTTTAAAACGTTTAAATCCCCAATGTTATTTTTTTTGCATCTATATCTATCTAATCTATACTAGTTTAACCTCTGACCCATAACTTGTAATCCTGAAAATGAAGTGAGTTAT